CCCTTACTGACATTGACAATGCCGGCTGCCTCTGCTCCTCTGCAAAGCTGAACAACTCGCCCTGTTTTAAAGAACCAAATCAATGTTCTTTTATCCCGCATTGTGCCTCCTTTTAAATGAGGAGGGCATTTTTTCCTCTCATCCAATACGGGTTTATAAATCAGCCATTTAAACATGTTCTATCTTTTGCTTTTATTTGTAGCCGCTACAAATTAAGACCATCGTTGCCACGGCAACCATGTGAGGGGGGAAAATGGAAAGCTAATTATTGATAGTGCCCCAGTTATAAGTTGCGCAATTGTACCTAACCGATAAAAAGTCACCAGAGCTCAATGAAAAAAAAAAGTAGCTTGTTATATATCACACCGCAATATTTCTACCGCTAAAAGATGGTCTGTGTTTGAGAGCTTTTTTACTAACGGGTTGAGCAGGTGAAGATGAACGTCGATTTGAACCTGCATCTATTATACCGTACACCGAGCACTACACAAAATAACTGCAAGGTCCCCAAAAAGACTCAACAAAAACAGAGCAATCACACAATTTATTACTCAAAGTGAGCATGATAAATGGAGAAAAACAACCCGATTATAAACAACAATGACAAAGGTTTGACATTAACACTAGTAGAATAAGAAACTAACTCAAAGAGGTGGAAGACCCATAGTGAGTAAAAGACACAAATAACAGAAGTATATCGAAACTACACAGGAATAGAAGTGCTAGAAAACCATAAATCACAGAAGTACTTACATATACACTGTGCAATGACAGTAAAGATTCCAATTAATCAACAGACGAACAACCAGCAATGCAATGATTCAGCTTCTTCTTTCAGCTTCTGCTGCACTTAAAAACCCATCTGATTGTTAATGTTAGCTGGTGGGACACAGGAGTCTTCCCACACCAATTACACTGGGGAAACGGAAACTAAATGGCAGACGCAGAGGCAGAGAAACCAGAATTTGAGACCATGTTTTCCAAGGGCAGTCCCTCACAGTTTTTTCCATTTCTTCTTCTAGATATAGAACAGTGTTCTCGAGAAAGGTAATCAAAGGTAATGCTAACGGACAAAATTACGAAAACTAAATTTGGTGGACAAAGCCCCTCTCCCTCCCGCCACAAAAAAATGCTTTTATCATGGAGTTACTGCTTGAAAACAGATGACTAATCGTCATGTGTTTTAGAGGGGTTCTAAGGCAGTTTCATATATTTTCTCTGAGTGCTATTAAAAAAAAACAACAACAAAAAACATTTTCTGTTTACCAAATGAATTAAATGTTCTTTCTCTTCATATTTGCCAATTAATTTCACATACAGGCTTTTTGTGGTGAGTGTGTGTTTATTTTAGCTCAGCTGATTTTACGATTGCTGTCCAACCCCATGGCAGTTGTAACAGGCGTTTGGGTCATGTAGTTCACTTAGGGCCAAATTCTTACCCCTTTTTTTATATTTCCCCCCCCCCATCCAGGTTTCTCAAAGACGCGTGACTTACGGAGAGCTGAGCCTGACTTCCAACCATAGAAGCGTGCATTTTTCCTGAGACTTGTGCCATTTAAATATGTATCAAAAATGATACAAATATAAAAAAACGTTCAGCTAATGGATGGATGGATAAATGAAGGCTAAAAAATAGCTTATATGTGTAGTCGGCCAGTTGGGACATGCAGATCGCTCTGGCATCAGACTTCAAAGGAGAGCAAGTTATTCTAATGTATAAAATAAATCCAATCAATTTAATGTAATCAGAATATTATGCTTAAAAATGAATGTATGTTTGCAGGTCCAAAGTGGGTGTGCCCACCAAGGTAGATCAGCAGTCCCCAACCCATTTTTTATTTTATTTTATTTTTTTTTATTGCCTTGGAATGGTTTCTTGTATACATATTTGGACATGTTATGTATACGATTCACCATTACGTAGTTACAAGCAATGTCGTCATTGTAGTTAGTGGGTGTTCTGCACTTGTTCTCTTGAACAAGCTCATCCCATTAAAATATATATATATATATATATATAGATAGATAGATAGATAGATAGATAGATATAGATATAGATATAGATAGATAGATATCTCTCTCTATATATATGTATATAATAAAAGTTTTTTATGCCGGTCAGGAATATGAAGAAAAATCACTTCTTGCAGTTTTAGCTGAGCATCCTAAAACAATAACTATCCATCTAGCACTATTTAAACTATTTAAATTCATGTTTTGCTTTAAAACACCTGCACACTGACCATGGCACACACGAGCCAGGTCACATACGGCCATAGAAATGGTACGCGCACACAAATTACATCCCCCTTCTCATCCATGTCCCACACACCAGCCCGAGTCCAATCTTCCTTGCAATCGCCATCACCAACATCTGCTCCACAGGGATCATCTGTCTGAAGGGTCCTTTGAGCTAAGCGCAATTTCTTGTCATATCATCCCACTTCAGATCTCCATTTGTAACGGAAGTCTGATAAGCATTGCTGCACCCACTACCCGCATCCTGCAGTTTGAAAGAACTGCACACTCACCAGACAAAGAAAACTAAGTCCTATCGCAATACCTGTACCTGTATAGTGCTTACCCATCCGGAGTGTCTGTCACACAGGGGTCACCTTTCCCAATGGTCCTTTTAGCTCTGTGCCCCGCCGATAGCTTCACTTACCTTCATTCAACTCATCTTTATTTATAGAGCACTTTAAACAACCACAGACGAAACACAGTGCTCAACATAACTACAGTTGAACATAAAACATAAAACACAAATGCGAATAAATATTTTAAGAGGGAAAAAAGGGAGCAGCTATTCAGAGTTGGAGGTGAAGCATCATAAATAAGAGGGAAAGGGACTTTCGGGTCTTCTCAAACAGGCTGCTGACTCTCGCCTCCCGGAATGACTACCTTCACAGCTAACCTGTCACATTCTGTCTGAGTAATGTTTGTTTTGTTTTTTCCCTCCCTGTCAGTTGGTGCTCCCCATGTTTCTCTTACGGTACGTTCAGAAATTCACATTGACGCCCTGACACCATCCTGAGAGTGGTGAGATTGGGGAGGAAGAGCATGCTCGGCTCCCATTAATTTCCGAACGCAGCCTGTGTTATAAACCAGTCAGCAGCTTGTGCTTGGACTTTTTCCACCTGTACTGCCCGACACACTGGACATATAGTTCCCCCAGATGGAGTGGCTAGAGCGCATTATGGCACCCGTTTTTTGGTGTACAATGAATTACGGAACGGCCCACTTGAACAACGCTAAGTTTTCATCTGGTCGGCGTGAGCTAGTATGTGCTCAGAGCTTATTTTCCCCTAGTTGGCTCAGGGAAGTGTACACCTGGGAGCAGCCATTAGCCCTACGACCACACCAGGCAGATGACAAATTATGACTTTATACCTTGTTGTTTATTGTATGCAACCTGTCTCGCATTGATATTGGATTCTGCTTTTGTTCGATGTTAATTCATTTATTTTATTTTATTATTATTATTATTTTTTTGGCTCCGTGTTTTCTGGCAGTAAATTCTGGTGATTTTCTGGTAGTACTCCCTTGCTTTACTCCTGACTCATTTGTAGCTGTTTGTTTGTACTTCTACTTATTCGTCTCACTTTATTTTTAACAGTCTGTTGACTGGGTACTTTGCTAATTACTATTTGTTCTTCTTATCCGTCTCTTTATTAATTTTGTTTTGTTTTTCCTACTAATTAGCCTTATGTTACCAGTGATTTTTGTTTGTTTGTTTTTGGGAGAGGGGCTTTGTGATCTACTCATCAGGACAGTTGCCTCTTATCTTGAAACTTATTAGGGAATAAAGACTCAGGGCAATGTCCTCCATGCTCTCCTTGTGGGCTGCTCAATGCCGGGTCAAAGCTCATAGCTGTTGTAGCATTGCCCACAACTGATCTTCTCCACAATAGAAATAAACAGCACGACGAAAACTCTCTGGTCGTGTAAATGATTTAGCGTGATGCAAAATGAATAAAGGATGTAAATTAAGCATAACGTGAACAGAGAGATTGAAACAGACTGTGGACTCAAAGGCATCTCTCATACTCATGTCTCAGAATTAGCTGCATCGGTGAAACCTAATTATGTTAATGAGCTCGTAACTAATTGACTAGTAACCTGTCAAGGGTTCAGCTTACTTTCCCTTCATGCTCCATCCAGCCGCTAAAGCACCGGTGTCAAACTCGAGACACGGGGATATATCCGTCCATCATTTTATGCGGCCCGTGAAGGAAAATCATGTGCGTAGACCTCCCGATTCTTGCAAATTGTCTTCACTTTTAACAACACTGAGATATGACATATTGCAAGCATTTTTTGTTGTATATGTGATAATGTAGTGGAAGACGATCATACATTTATATGGGCTCACAGTCATAACGGCCCTCATAACTATGATGTGACCTGCGACAAAGATGAGTTACGCACCCCTGCTCTAAAGGATCACAGATTAGAAAAGAGGGATCGTGCTGTTATTATTATTTTTTTTCTTTTTCCGCTTGCAATGTATCAGCACAAAGTTATCTTCTCTTTCCTACTTTTGATTGCAGCAGACACCTTTTGTACAACTGCACCTTTATTGTTACTCGACTGCCTTGCCTTCATGCCCGTCATGGTGTTCTGTGCATCTGACATTCTCGGCTAAAGCAGTGACATGTGCTTGCTCTTTGTCCTCGGTGCTGTGGAAGCTCTAAATGCATTTCCTGGCGTAGAGTTAATCATAAGCAAATTAGTGGTGGAGATGTCAACATTTAATTTCCAACCACAACATCTATATGAGTGCATGAGTGCACTGCTCATCAGCTGCTATTTTATGATGAAAGGAAGGTCACCAAGAGTTTATTACAACACTTTATTGAATTGCTTCCCCAGACTTCCTCGCATAAAGCACGGCTAACCGTAAGATGATAGCTATACTATATTGAGTTTACAGAGTGTGTGCATGGGTATAAGTGGTCTTTGTAGACATGCAGTCAGCGCCTTCGCTTCTCTCTTTACAGCCAGGAAGTATGACAGCGGTGAATATCTCAACATCACTGGCATCACAAGGGACCAAGCTGGAGACTATGAATGCAGTGCTTTAAATGACATCGCCTCTCCTGACACCAAAACAGTAAAAGTCACAGTCAACTGTAAGTACACCCATTCATTCTCAGCGTGCTTCACACTGGCCTTTCAACCTCACGAAAGACGCAGGCGCAGCCTTCGATGATAGCAGTGCCACATCCCTGATGATGCACCTCCACAAAGTGCACCCTCCAAATGTTGCCGGAGAAAAGGAATGCTTAGCATTTCTTAATATTTAATGTGATAAGTCCCTTTTTGTCTGTGCATATAGGTGATTAATTCACGCTAAGGGAAGGTCTGACTGTTCCAAGCGCTATTCCATTATGCAGTTAATGAGTCTTCCAAAAGTGTGAGGAGACAGTAATGAGGAGCCTTGACATTAATGAATGATACTGGGCTTTAGCTGCTGTGGTCACAGAAAAAAAAAAAAAAAAAAGAGCACAACTAAGAGGCGTGAGAGGGAATGAAACCATTGTCTTTCTTTGTAAAAGTGCTCCTCCTTTTATTCTTATGGGCTTCTGCATAAATACCCTGTGCGCAATCTCACTTTTATCAAAATGGAATGGGGCCTTTGCCGTTTTCAAAGTGCGGGCAAGATTTGACTGTAACCTCATTTCACTAATCCCTTTGGCCGTCTGGTATCTGACCAAAGCTGTGCCCTTTACTAACATGCACATGCAGCAGATGTGCACTGTCTGCAACATGCACTGTCAAATAGAAAAGCCTAAAAAAAGCCATCGTTTTTATGTTGGTTGCATAACTTATTCGTAATGGAGTGTTACTATGATGCTAAATGTTATTGATTTGAAGTTTTATTTTGTTGCAACGTCCAATCAGTTCAAAATCAGAAGAAATCAGCTGAAATGTTGCTAATTGCATGTGGCCTCTGAATCCGCGGCTGCCCGACAAGTGTGGCACAACATGATTTTTTTTTTCTTCAAAAATTGCCAACCCCTCTTGTAAGGCAGTTTAAAAGCCAGAAGCAAGGCAGAGTTTTAAAAAACAAACAAAACAACAACGCTCCTTTTTGACGAGTTAGCAAGATTTGTAACTTGGGTTTTGAGAAATAATGCACCCATTCTATAGTTTTCATGATTACCACAATGTTGAGCCCTGCAATGTATGCGCAGGACGTTTTCCAGCTCATTGTTATGGACGCTTTGACTCTGGCTTCATTATGAAATTAAGTCTTGTGGCCATTATTTCTATGTAATGCCTGGCGCTAATGAGCTGGGTCTGAGTGGGATTTTATATGCTAGTTATTTATACCTCTGCTGAGACACGGGTTCAAGGATGAAAAGTGGTTTGAGAACCATTATGCTATTCTCCCCAAAAAGAAATTCACCATTTCAAATAAAGCGTGTCAACGTCTGAGGATACATTTTCATGCGAGTAGCATATGACTTTTCCATTCAAGATGAGTGAACCGATGAGGAAGACCCTGCTGTCTGACAAAGTCACCACTTCTTGAGCACCAGAGACATATTCTGAGTGGGAGTAAACTGTCATTCCTCAAGTGTTAAGACAGTGTTTCCTGCCCTGAGTTATCAGGCGATGACAGATCGTCAGAGCGTTCCTGTCACTGAGCAATTGTTCATTCTTTTTTATTGATTCCTGACATAGTGGAAAATTGTCCAGACCTTGTGGTTTTCCTCCTTTTGGTGATTTGTAAATGAGCCCTTGGGGAATGATGCTGAGGGCGCTATATATATTCACCCTTCACTCACACCACGTTGTTTACAGATCCAGGATAAAGTAATGAATCCAAAAAAAAAAAAAAAAATGTTTGCATATGTTTATAGGTTACTTGAGAATCTCGCCCAGTGGTCCTTGGAATGAAGTATAAGGTTTTCAGCACAATATTAATGTGTTGTTGAGATTAGATTTCCCGACCGTATTTATTCAAGTCACCCATTTTATGTTTACATACTGTACGAGCAAACGAATATGAGTACCGGTACTGAAATAATGATGGTGTAGTCCAATTTACTCTAAAATTGACTTGCTCAGTGAGACATCTAGTCCTGTTTAATTGAACTCCAAGCTGATATACTTAATGGCATAACGGCATGCCTTTCTGTGACTGAATGGCAACACGTGGACACACAGGTGTATTGTACTTATGTTTACTGTCCATAAAAGGAAGAGTATGACATTGCTGTGCCGCCCAAGGTTTACAATGTAGTGTAAATTTTCATGATCACATTCTTTTGACATTAATATTTATGATTGCTGACATCCTGAGTCATAGTCAACGGGAATCTACCTCTACTTGCTTCAAAAAGCACACAGGTCATTTGATTGAAAAAAAAACCGTGCCTAAACAAACTTCTCTTTTTTGCCAAGCACCTTTGTAGTTTTCTTACTGACTTTTCCCATGTGTACGTTTTTTTTTTTGTTTGTTTTTGGCTTGTTTTTTTTTTTTGTTTGTTTTTGTTACACAGTTACATGATCTATGCACAAAGTCTGACCACAGTTGATGTGTCAGTCCAGATGGTAAACAGTCCTCACTGTCTCCTTTTCACCATGGTCCGACTGTTCTTCTGCAAGGAATTATTTGGACCATGTCCCAGTCTCTGTGACTCATGGTAGGAAAGGGCAAGTGCATGAATAGATCTTCAAACAGCCGAGTCTGTCACTGCCTCTTCCAAAATCCAAGATGGCAAATCAAATGCCAGTAAAACGCCAGATTTGCCAGTAAAACGCCATTGAATATACAAGTGGACACACTTGTGCACGTGTAGTAGAAAAGCACCAACATTATCACTTGTTGCTGCCTCTTACAATAAGAGGGGGCAAAAAAATGAACATACCTATCCACCTACCGACAAACCTATCTACCCCCCTTCAAATAAAGATTGTATAATAAATAAAGTTGTACTTTCTTTTTGACGAATCTCACATGAAACTTTTACATTACTAGAGTGGATTTGGAAATTATTTTCTTCCCTCCATTGAAAATGGAAATTAGAATAGCATCTGCCCAATTATACAGAGGCTTCTCACCTCGCACGCATTTTGGTGCAACTAGTAATGGCTAATGCTCACAAGGAAGGTACAGTATATTTGTGTGTTGCTACTCACGGTGTCAGAAAGGTATTACACACCGGATTCCACCGACGGAGTCTTACCTGGACTGCTACTCAGCCACCATGATGTTACTGCCTATGCATTGGACCAGTCAGATAACAAATATATCAATGAACCCAAAAGCAATAAATGCTATGAGCATTTAAAACCATACAAATGAACACATTTTCCCTCACAATGAACAACTTTGGGGCTTTTTGTAAAGGCTGTCGTTGGCATGGAGACAGTTAAGGAACAACACTTTGGTGGCTGCCTGTTGAAGGCCTACGCTCTAAAATGTCCATGGTTGGAATGTAAGGGTAAATGGCTGTTTTCTCTAAATGTGCCCTGTGATTGCCTGGCAACTAGACCAGTGTTAGGCGGCCTGGCCAAAGTCTGCTCGGGTACGTTCCACATCAGCTGCGACCCTAATGAGCATAAAAAACGTATGTGAAATAGTTCCAAGGTTGAATGGATTACATGACCGAAGGGAAATGTTGACTTTAGGGCACTACAAGAAGTTAAACCCTTTGGGTCAAATCATGTCACTCACTTATTTTTCACGCAGTTTTATCACAATATGTGCCCAGTATTATGAATAAATAGACCACGGATGGATAAAATTGTATCATGATGAGAGCAGGAGGAACTCTTCTCAAAACTAGTTCATTCAAATGAAGTCGTAAAAATCAGTCAATCGTGATTGCTTTTTCTTTTTTTTTTCTACTGTTATAATATAGTACATTCCATGTCATTTAACGGGTTAACAGTCTAATTAAATATGTGGCTCGACAGTTTCTCTCCAATTTCAAAACAATTCATTTTTCGAGGGCAAAACAGTGCTGTTAACCTCAGGGCTAATTACAGATTAAGGCCACTAATTGAAATAATCAAGTAATAAAAACAAACTTAAGCCCCAGCACGCAGCTATGGTAAAACCCGCTAACGCTAAGCCAGCCGTTTGGCTTTCTCGGATGCGGAGCATGAGAAATTGAGATTGAGGCATCTACATTGGGTTCACTGTTAACGCTTTGTTTGAATTTCTTAAAGTTTTACAAGGCTGTCATGAGCTGACCACATTAATTAAATTACTAAATTACTGGCTGCCTTTGCTTCTTGTGGTTGTACAATCTGCTGTTTTTTTTGTTTTTTTTTTCGTAATCAGATAAGCATGAAAGGTGGCAGTCATCCAGAGGCTCACACTTTTGTTCAGATTGCTGAAAATCCCTGCTTGGCTAAAATGATAAGAGTTTTTCTATTTCTTAAAAGCGTGATCTCTGACCTCCTTTTCAAATTTACATAATTCATCCTCGCCGCAGGTTATTGGCTCGTGATCTGCCGACACAGACTCAAAAGCATGAATCTACAGGAGGTGAATGAGTCTCGGGGATGGATGAGTCAGGGCCCACCATGAAATCTCCCTGTGAGACACTGTTTCATTAATGAATGAATTCACCTCACAGACCCGCCGTGCCCATTACCAGGTGAATTCAGATGAAGCTATCACAAAACATGGCTTCCTTTCCATGTTAAGGAATCAAAGGTTTTTGACCGTCCTTTCTGCTTTCGAAAGCACTCAACAGCGCGAGTACAGTGTTCTCAACCCTTATATTGAAGGGGCACTCTGAAGTTTGAAGAGCACCATGTTGCAAAATGTAATTTGACAGTTTGCAGAAGCTTTCGCCACGTCTGGACGGAAGCAACCAACTGTCTTCTCCTCTGATTTATTTGTTGTCCGCCCTTTGGATGCATTCGGCTGCAACTGCTTGAGGGTACTCCAGCTGTTCATATTTCAAAATCACACCAACAAGCCCGTTTGCAGGAGTGCAACGCAGACAGGCTGACTTGTTGACATCATGTCAGCGCCACGTGTGGCTTTTTTGCAAAGTTCGTTCCATGCCTCTCTTGCTATAGTGTGTTCTTATCTTTCCTTTTCCAGTCAAATGTCCCGATTACAATTGAATTGATTTGCATTTATTTTTCTGAGGCCTCCAAA